TTTTTTTTAAATGGGAAAATACAATCATAATATCTTAAAAATGAACTCAAGGCCTTACGGTAAGCTGTATATTTTTATATGTTATATACCACATATAAAATATATCATAATTTATATTTTATATACCACAACTCATTCCTGAAATCTTTTTACAGTGACTGCTGATGAAAGTACTGACGTCACCTACTTGCTTAGAAAGAGAAACTGGTGTCATCTGTTATCATATTATTCATCAGCTGTATCTTGCCTCAGGTAATGGTTATATTATTATTCACTATTCCATTACTAATACTTTCTATAGCTCATTAAAATATTTTTTGCTTTATGTCATCCCTTACTGCATTTCCTCTAACAGAAATCTTCTTTACTCTTCTAATCTGCTGAAAAGACAGTCACTATTTACAAATGACGAGGAAGAGAGACTTAAAGCTCTAGAGTGACTTATTTTATGGCTGTAATTGTTACTGATGTTATTGTTTTGTGAGATACAGACGTATGGTTGGGAACAGGCCTTAGTGAACAGGAACAGAACGGTCTCATAGATCCTTTCTTTTTCATGGTATCAGAGTCCAGCAACATGCAATATTGTGTGCAAGAACACCACCACAGTTAGAGCAACTGAGTGAATAACAAACCTGCATATCACATCTTATTTATTAGAGGAACATTTTCAAAAGCCTATCCAGCCCCTTGAAGAGGTCTGGAAGGAGCAATAATATTCTCTAGTCTGTTCTTGTTTGAATCCATTCTGGAACAGAAGGATGAATGAAGTAGAGGTAAAATACTCTTGTCCACAGGTTTTTCTTCTGAACTCTAAAAGTTCTAAACAGATGCACTTGAAGATAATTTATCATTCATCTAACTAAAAGCATAAACTAATTAAGAATTACTATAGGCCTAACTAGTAACTTAAAGCTTTCTTTAAACATCACAAACACCATTATAATTTGAAAATAAATTATGCTATTTTTAGTATCAGTATTATAAATTTAAGGCACATATTAGGATACCCATGTTCTATTTATCACCTATCTATTCATTGCTCCACAAGCTGAAATAACAAGTAGGGTTCTTTGCAGCTACTCATCTGAACAACGAATGAGTAACAATCAAAATTTCGTACCATTTCCCTGGAATGATCCATTATCCTAAAGATACTCTAAAATTTAAAAGGAAAGTAAAAAACACTTCTGAGAGAAAGCCTCATGACTAAAATCCCTACAACTCCCTCAGATTTTCCTGATGCAGTAATTGGGGAATTCCTCATTAAACAGCATTAGCTGTATCTGCAAAATGATGCACCCCGAGCACCTTGCCACTGCCCCATCACACCTAAGTATCCTTCTCAGGGGCCACTCCTCTCTGCTCTCCCCACTTTGCCGGGGAAGATAACAGGTGCACAGCTTCAAATTCCACTTTAAATCTCCCTGGAAGGTGGCACAACCTGTGCTAGTTCTTACATACTACAGACTAAACCCTGCCCTCAAAGTACCACAGCCACGCAAAACAAGGGCCTTCAAGCATTTTGGTCTGAGAGCTGAGCATTCCCTGTGGAAATTCCTTCCTGAATGCATTCACCAGGCCAAGACGTGACACCACTGGCTGCAAAACGCCTGCTCAGATCAGGGGCAGCCACCCCAGAGACAGCAACACCTTTTCCCGACAGCACCAGGCAGAAGTCACTACGTTTCTCCCGCTCTTTACCTGCCCAGCAGCCCCTGCACAAGCGAACCATTGCTATCACGGCCTAGGGCTTTCGCGACAGCGACCGTTACCGACAGATGGGGAAACAACCACCCCACCAGGCGCCTGGCAAGCGCGACACCCTCCACACCTTCCCGCCACAAGCAGCAGCGCATGCGCTGCACGCCCCGCCCACCGGCGACTCGCGTGAGCAAGGGCGCATGCGCCGCACGTCCCCCCAGCTACGCTTTGGATCACGTGATCCCTTCCCGCCTCCTGAGGGAGCAGCCTTGTTACTTCCTTTTTCCTCTCCGAGGCGGAAGTGCCTGTC